CAGTTATTTCCAGTATTTGAAAATAATGTCAGTCACATAATTTGTCCCTGAGCCTTGTCCTCAGTGGAGTTTGAACCGGCATTTTCCAGGAAAATAAGAGAAAGGGGACAGGAATGCTGTGACTTGTTAACGTAGATGAAATCTCATCAGGAGGCAGAGCTGTCATGAGAGGCAACAGGGCAGCTCCGAGCTTCCCTCCGTGCTGAAATCGGGTGGTGAACCCTGCCAGGAAGAGGGGTAGGGAGAGCTTGCCCACCAAGACCAGCAGCTCTTTGAGGGGCCTGGTGAGGAACGGCCTGAAATTCAACGGATTTCCCCAAAAGAGGAAACCCCGAGGTTTGCAAACAAACAGCTGCTCAAAACTACGTCTCCAGAGTTCATTAGGAACAGGAAAAAAAGCCTCATTCTGTGCCAGATAGACATTTTGCTGCCAAGAAAGTGCCACCTACTGGATCTTACCCGGTGGGGAATCACCAGGACGGGGAAAAAACGCAGAAAACACAATGCTATGAAAAGTACGTTTTTTTCATATTTCTCAACTAGAACAACAGAAAATTACACTGATAGTTCTCCCAGCCACAACCCCTCTCCAGCCATTCTCCCTCCAAAGCAGAATCAGAGAGACTTTTGAAGTGGATAAAAGCTGGGGAGGGGGATGAAGGTTTCGGACTTGCAAAGAGAGACTCACCGGTGCTAAGAAGCCGCTCTCGTCTCCCGCAGTTCGCTCAGCTCCCGTGAGTTCTCTCCCAGTTTTCCTTGCCTTCCTACTTAAATCCTGCTGCCATTCTCCAGCAGTCAAGCTGCGTGTCCTCTCTGCACAGGCTATGAGCCCGATGCCCGAACGCTGAATGAGAGTGGGAGGCAGAGCCCACCCGGCACCCCGGCCTGGGGGTCCCTGTGCCGTGGCTCGCCGCTGCCCTTTCCTCCCGGTACCGCTCGCCCCGGGTGTCTGAGAGCAGGTAACAGAGGTTCCTTGGCAGAGGAGAGAGGAGGGGAGGGATGTGGAGGCAGCGAGAGGTGGAGCTGGGACCCGGAGCAACAGGTTACTGTATAACCAGGAGCCGGTGGCCCCGGGAGCGCCGGGGGCTGCTGCAGCCTTCGCCCACTCCCCAGGCAAGGCGACCAAGAGCCCAGGAGGGACGTGTTAAACTTCGGGTTTCTTGCTCCCGAGAACATTTCGTACCCAATAGGAAGGTTTAAGGTGGGGAGGGGAGATGAAGGAGTGCTTGGAGCTCAGTTTTCCATCGCTGGTGAGGGAGGGGGCATGCTGCCCGACCGCCTTATGGGGGGAACAAGGCACCTTTTGTGCAGCCCGGGGCTCTCCTCAGCGCTGGCTCGCGGCTTGTTTTCCTCCAGCATCGCCCCTGCCTGCTGTCTGTCCCGACGTCTGCGGCAGGGAAAGGTGCTGGGAGATGGAGGGAAAAGGCAAAGCCTCCTTTCTCTCACATGCCCCAAAACAATCCGGGGTGTGGAGCAGAGTCCCCTTTGGGGACACCCGCTCTGTGGCACTGTGCTCCTTGGGGTTATGTAGCCATAAAGCCCTTCATTTTGCCCCAGCTCTTCCATGAAAGATAGTAGGTTTAGATGGGATATTGGGAACAAATTCTTCCCTGTGGGGATGCTGAGGCTCTGGCACAGAGAAGCTGTGGCTGCCCCATCCCTGGAATTGTTCAAGGCCAGGTTAGACAGTGCTTGGAACAACCTGGGATAGTGGAAGGTGTGCTTGGCAGGGAAGATATCAGCTGGGTCATACCAATGGCAGGGTGGGATAATTCTGGTTAGACATTCTTCTAAAATTGAGGCTTTTGAGAGTGTTTTTATGGATGTGCACGTGTCTGCAGACTTCCCCACCATGCCCACGCTGTGTGTTGAACCCCTGCCATGTACATGTGAAGTGAGACCCCGTGTCGCCGGCCCTGGGAGGAAACAGCTGTAACTGTGACACTAGGGAAAGAAACAAGGAAAAGCTTCCCCATCAGGACAGCGGTCTGGCAGAAGCCCAAACTCCTTAGCTTGACATTTGCTGAGTTCCCCGCTGCTGTGGGTTTCTTTGAGGGGCTTATGCCCAGCGCAGGGCCTGGCCCGGGTCCAGGCGCACGGAGGAGCCGCCCCGGTGAGTTGCTGCGGGAGGAATGCGGCCGGGTGAGCCGGGCGGGCAGGGGGAGAGCGGCTCTCTGCCTGACAGTCGGCATTTCGGCAGCTCGGGTTTGGCAGGACCACGGCCTCTCCTGCTGCGGGAGAACACGAGTCGATACTCGGTGTGACACTCCCACCCAGTGCCGCGCCTCGTCATCCTCCTCGCCAGGAGCACAGGGAATATATTGTGAAAACACGGCCAGTCCTAGGGAAAGCAGCATTTAGGGAATGCCTGCTGTACCAGGCAGGGGAAGGGATATCAGTCCAGCACAAGAGAAATGCAGTGGGAATGTCAGCTGTGTTGGAGCCTTGTGAGCCTCAGAGCCAGAAGGTTTTGTGCAGAAGATCCCTACTCCCTGAACTGTTTCCTTACTCCCTGGGGTGTTTCAGGAGGACTGCTGGGTTGGGCTGACTTTCCTAGGATGCAAACAGGGAGATGACAGGATGGTATTTTAAGGTACTGCTTCCTATCCAGCTCCACATTCACAATGAAGACAGGGCTACTGTGAGCTTCTGTGCCCCACAGCAAATCTCTTAACTGCTCTGCAGAGGCAGCAACTTTTCCTCTGGGCAGGGAAGAAAACCACAGCTGAGCTTATTACACCTTCCCAGCTGTCCCACCTGACAGCTGGTGCCGGTGGGGGTGGGCCAGAGGCAACTGGAGAATCATGGAATGGTTTGGCAGGTGGGAATCACCCTGTGGTATGGTGATGGTTCCTGGCGTGGCTCCCAGGTGTGGAATCAACTGAGTGCATGTCCTCAGCCTCCTTCCTTTACTGGAGAGGCCACTCCAGAGGGACATCATAAAGTCACGGACCCATAATACCCTATCTCCCAGTATCTCCAATTTGGAAATCCCAGGAGGCTGACTTGCCTCCTGGGATCAGCCTTTTAAATCAGGTTGGCGGCAGACACCCTTGTGATGGCTCAAGAACAAAGACTTGTCGAGTAAACACCACCCAAACCCAGCTCCTCAAAATATGTGTTCCTCTAAATTTTTAATGCTGTTTGCATCCAACTTGCTTGTCCTGTTTCAGAAGGGCTGGGCCTCGTAATTAAAAGCTCCAGCGATTGTATGTCTGGCAAATGTCATCAATGGCTTCACTATGTGTGCCCTGCTTCTCCAAGCAGTGGGAATGGTTTGGAAAGGAGCTCCTGGTAAGGGAAACTCTCTGAAGCTGATTCACTTTGGGTCTTTGTACCAGCTCAGCATTGAAAGATGCCACCATGTAATCAGGGAAACCAACACAATTCCTATTGAAAGCCTGGAAATACTTGGGATGAAGGAGTTGTCTGAAGCTTCCAGGCTTCATCCTTCATCATGGAGCACAGGGCTGTCAGCAGCAGCAGTACCCCATGAAAGAGTCCATGGACAATTTTATCTGGAACTGGAAAACTGAAACCAGAGCTGTCTGGCCCTTGTGAGAATGCAAGTCCAGGCTGGTGCTAGCTGACCCCAGCAGGCACTGACAGCCAGCCAGGGCTCTGAGCACTTGCAGCCATCAGGCCCTGCCCTGAAATGAGCTAAAACTTCATGTTTGTTATCCTATGTGCATATTTACCCCATGCCTCACTATCACCAAGTACTGGCACTCTTTTGATCCTTGTTTTTCACCTGGGTGATGGGGAAGGAACAAAGGGTTCACCATGTTTTATAATTCATATTTTGTGTTTGTTTGTGGTGATCACCCAAGAAGGTGAAGCACAGGGGCTGTGATTCAACATTAATCTGTGTGGACCCTGTTTGCTGTATCACCTGCATTCAGGTAAAAATTCCACCTTGCAATATTCCTTTTAGAACCTGTCAGTTGTTCTGTGGGCAGACCTTCATGTAAGGCAGGTACAAACACCAGGAAAAGCTTGTGCTTTTTTTTTTGTGCCCATCCAGGAAGAGTTTTGCTTGTGTGCTTTGATCGTTAATAGGGCAGGGACAGCTCGGTATGTTGGTCACTCCTTGGAACAAGCATGTGATGGCACATTCCATCATGCCAAGCACTTCTGAGAGGACAAATAGGTGGGGGTTCCATTCAGGCAGATTAAGCACAGAAGAATTTGGTTGTTCCATTTCCTGGGTGCTCCTTAGCCCCAGTTCTGCTGCTGTGATCTGTCCAAGGGGATTTGTTCCAGTGGATATTCTGACTGTCACTGTCAGGTGGGTAGTATGGACAGAACTTGCTGTTAACTGGCCTGGGAGTAGAAAGGTTGGGGTTGGACAGGACTTTAAAGCTCATCTCCTTCCATCCCCCTGCCAAGGGCAGGGACACCTTCCACTAGACCACGTTGTTGCAAGTCCCATTCAACCTGGCCTTGGACACTGCCAGGGATCCAGGTGCAGCCACAGCTTCTCTGGGCAACCTGTGCCAGGGCCTCAGCACCCTCTGAGTCATGAATTTCTTGCTAGCATCTCATCCAAACCAATCCTCTTTTGGCTTGACACCACTCCCCCTAATCCTGTCACTACATGCCCTTGTGAAAAACCCCTCTCCTTCTTGTAAGCCCCCTTTAGGTACTGGAATCCTTAAGGTTAAAAAAGTCCTCTGTGATGATCAAGTACAACTACTGAATGACTGAGGGATGAAACTGGGCCCTTCCACAGAACTTGTGTATTTTGTCCCTTTCTACCCTCACCAGAAAGCAAAGAGTAGCATGGCTGAGGTGCCACAGGCCTGCACGCCACAATTTTCAGCCCCTGGTGATTGCAAATTAGCTCAGAGCTCCCAAGGGCAGGAGAAGGGGCTGCACGCAGCAGCAGGATCAGGATCAGAAGAGGCTTCCACACACATCCAGGCTTGCCCAAGTCTTCCTCTGGATGATTTAGCTGGAGCCCAAGATCTGAACAAGATGCTCTGCATTTCAAACAGTCCTTAGAGCTAAATCATTATTTATTTGAATGAATAAATAAATACAAAAATAGGAAATTCTGAATAGAAAATAGACTTCTTCAAAAACCCACGAACTCCCAAAGCTTTCCATTAACACATATTTTAGAGACAGTAAAAAACTCTGCACTTGCACCAGTTAGAAGTTAAGACTTGAATGTAGTAATATTTTAAAAATAGTAGAAATAGGCACATTAAACACTGAATAGAAATAAAACTACCAACATTCTGCTGAACTTTCAAACAGGACAGAAGAGAGAACGAATGGTGAATGGTTTTGTTCATTTTAAAGCCATCCTGTCTAACCAAACATCCCCTCATGTAGTAAGAACTGGCTGCCAAACCTCGTGGCTTGGCTCTCCAGGTATGCACAAAACCCAGTTCCACTCTCCCCCGCTGGGATACATCAGGTTCTGCCCTACTAAAGTCAGGGAAATTACCACTGAGGTCTGGAAACACAAATGAGAGCAGCAGAGCAGCTGTGCCCTCAAACACGGACGTGTGCGTGGCAAGGCACAAGTGAGCCCTGGCCTGATTCATTTCTGTGTCACTTGGGCTGCATGTTGCTCCTGTGCCATGAAAACTCCCACCATGCCAGCAGCACTGCCTTCTATCCTGTGCTGGGAATGGATATTTAGTACTGACCCCTGGTGAATGCCAGAGTGTTAAGTGTTTTGCGATTCATCCCTTGCCTTTGCCCATAAATAAGCCAATGGTGGACAGCATCACACAGCTCCTGGGCAGGACATCTACGTCCCCAAAACTTCTCATTTCAACAGAGAGAAGCTTTACAGGGTTTTTATATACAAAGGAATTCAGGAATGGAAATGAAGCCCCACTCTTTCAGAGAAGGAATGTGTGGCAGGCGTGTGGGAAGGGCCCGGGCTCAGCTGACGAAGGCAGCGATGGCCGTGACCTTGAGCCCCGACTCGAGCCCGTAGGCCGAGAGCAGCACGGCGTTGAGGAGCACATCTGCCCACAGCACGTAGGTCTGCCACAGCAGCAGGTACACACACAGCACCACACTGCCCACCGTGAGCCCCAGGCTCAGCCCCAGTGGCACCTCTGCTTCTGTCAGGTTACCCTTGAAACCTGCAAGGAAACAGAAACTGAAAGTCCAATTTGTTCTGACAACAGCTCAAGCTGTAACTCGAGGATATTCCTGCTCAAAAAAGGCCCTGGTTCTGACTTTGCTTTTACTCAGTTCTAAAAAAGCTCAAAATACATTGAAATACCAGCCTGAATCAAAGTTCTGCCAGCAATCAAACAAGCCCAACACCAATAGACAATCCATTTCAAAACAGGAAAACTAAACAAAGTTAATCTAAATAAGTTCATCAGTTGATAATGACAGCCAGGGCACCTCTTCTTACCACAGAGACTCACTTCTCAAGCTGCATCGTTCTGAGCACTTGGCTTCAACCATCAAACTCTTCCTGAGCCCCCCTAGCCCTGCACTCAACATGGTGATATCAGTGCACTCCTGGAGTCCAACCCTCATTTTCAAGTCTTATTCCCTGCTAATCTATTCCTGCTTCAGATGACTGGCACCTTCTCTCTTCCTTGCACTTATTTCCAAGCCCATCTCAGTAGATTTTAGTGTTTAACTACATTAGAGTTGAAACTCACTTCTTTATTCATGGATCAGGCTCCAAGCAACACACAGACAGCTTTAAGTCAGCAGAATAAATCCAACCCTAAAGCCACTCAGATTGATTCAATGGCCCCACCCCACATAAATGTCTTGGGAATATTGAGCAGATTTTAATAGTGATTTGGATTTTTTAAAAATTTGACTTGAAGTTTTAGCAAGCTCTGGACAAGGTTAGGAGGCCCTTCCCACTCTTCTATCTTAGTGAAAAGGAAGGTGTTGGTGCTTGTGGTGTCCTTAGGAGTGAAAGGAAAGGTGTAGGGGTCTCCAAATATCTGCTCAACTGACAGACTCCATCTCCAAATGATTCATGTTTAAAGATTACATTCCAGTTGCACTGATAGTATGACATACCCAAGTACAATCTAGGCATTTCCAGAATGGCCATAAGGAAAAGCACGGCAAGATCAGGAGCCAAAAAATCATCTGGATAACTGAAAACTTGACCTAGAGAATAAACCAGAGTAAATAAAGCAGGAAGACACAGCAGGACAAAACCCAGCTGAGCATCAGCACAGCTTGCTCTGGGGACAATATCTGCAACTTACTTTTGTAAATAATCATTGCAAGAGTTGCCAAGAAGTAGAAGATGTAATAAATGCCATTTACATAAAGCAGGATGTGTAAGGGAAGCGATGACAGCTGAGAACTGTTGTCAAGGATTTCTCGTAGCATGGAGGTGGGATCTATTCCATAAAATCACCATTTCCCAGTAACCCCAAATTATACTGCACTCCCTCTTCATACTGAATGGTCCAGCTATGCCTGCTGTGGGGAGGGGTAAGGAAGGAACTTGAGCCTGCAAACACCACAGCCTGGGATAAAAGCCTTCTGTTTCAGGCTTGGCTTTAGTTCCCTTTTTAAGGAATTTTATTCAGACTGTAGTGGGGCATCCGTTAGCCTGAGGAATGGGGGGGGATGCATGTGTACATTCCCCCAGACTACTTCCACACTTCTTAGTTGGCCTTAAGGAAGTTGACAGAGAGTTGGCAAACTCCATCAAACTTGTGTTTGGAGAAGTGGCTCTGTGCAGCAGCCAAGCCTTGCTCCTGCCCACAGCATGGAAAGGCTTTGCTCCATACCTGTCTGAGCTCAGCTTTGAGATGCAAATTCCTAAGAAACAGCCTTAATTCACTCCCCTCTCTCCCCCAGCCTTTTTCAAATCCTACAAATATCTCCAAGCAGGGATTTCATCCCAGGCATCTTTTACAGGAACTGCCCATTCTGCTTCTAAACCCACCCACGCGCCGTGGATGGGTTCCAGTTCCCAGAGCAGCTCATTTTATTAACACAGAACCAGGTTTTGGGGTTTTTCCAGTTGAAGGAAGGTGGAGCAAAAAATTACTAGATAGGTTCTAAGCATGGAAATCTCCAGAGCCAAGGGTGTCTCCTCCTAGGAGGTTACTTGGATCTTGGCAGGAGTAAAGTGGGGTAACTTACTGTAAGAGAGGAGGAAGTTATTATTGAGGGCTGCTTTTACTACCCCTTGTCACCTGTGTCAGCTGTCTGTGAGCTGTGATGCAGGGAGTGTGTCCACCAGTCCATAAATCAAAATTTTAACCTCCTTTCCTAAGAAAATGGGTTAAGTCTTAATTGCAGGGGCGCTAAGGAGGTTTCTGCAAGAACAGGAGCCCATCAGTGGCAAATCCCAGCTAAACCTGCACCAAACATCTTCCACTGGAAGCAATATGTTCCCAGTTGTGCTTCCTGTGGATGACACTGACAGAAAATTCAGGAGCACAGAGCCAGCACTGTGCAGAGATGCTGGACAGAAGGTAGGAATCCACCTGAGGCAGTCTTCTCCAGGATTCTTGCATGGAGGGAGCAGTGGTACAGAAAGGATACAATCTCTGATGTTCTTCCTTTCCGTGAAGAAAGAGAAAATAAAGAGAAGAAAATATGTCTAAATCCAGAAACATTCTAACAATGGTATCTAAATTCTGGGAGGAATATCTTTTTTCATCTCCCAGGAACATTTATTGTTTTCCAGATCGTGGACTTCAGGTTCCAAAAATAACCTTTTCAACTAGATGAAGCCTCAAATAATATGGGGAAAATCCCTACTGGGAAAAGCTACTTTCAGTGAGGAACTTTAGACTCTTTCAAAGCCTGAAGGAGTGCACAGGCATTATCTAGAACTTGTTCATCCTGTCCTTTCCTAGCAGATGACACTTCATCCCCTCTAACTATGCAGGAAGGAGGTGAACATGGGATCCATTTGCTTGTAAATTGTGAGAAAGTTTGTGGAGAACACAGGGCTCCCAGGTTCCTCTAAATACTATCCCTCCAAATGTCATCCCTCCAAGCCAGTTCCCTTTACAAAGTCATTCCACATCCAACCTCACTGTCTTCTGACAGCCCACAAAAATCAAACCAAGTATTTACAATGATCCAACCAACACATTTCACTTTTTTCCTTATTATTTTCTGCAAAAATCACATGAAATTCTCATGCAACATGATGGCACTACTAAAGTACCTCTTAAATTGCTCATTAGTATTCTTGGCCTCTCTCAGACACGTGAGGAATTGCACAGTTGGGATTTCTGTTCCAGGGAGAGTAAACCTGTGAAAGGCCATTTCATCTGTCTCCTCAGGGACAGCTCGTCATTGTCACACCACCATCCTCATCCCTGGATTCCTGAGCTCAATGTCCTCTTCACCTCAGAGTTTTATGCATTTAGACCCAAACTAATTCCCCCTAACTCCAGGCAGTTAATTAAAGTATCCAGTTTGGGAACACAGTGGGAACAGGCACATGATTTTAGGTGATTCATGTATCCATGATCTGAAATGTCTCCTGGACCTGATCCTCTCCTCTCAGCTCTTTGTACAGGGACTGGGGGCTCCCCTCACTCATCCTGTCACTTAGGAGTTACAGGACAAGGGGGAATTTCTTTGATACTGAGAAGAAATTTTTCCCTGTGAGGGTGGCACGCCCAGGCACAGGGTGCCCAGGGAAGCTGTGGCTGCCCCGTCCCTGGCAGTGTCCAAGGCCAGGTTGCAGGGGTCTTGGAGCAGCCTGGGATAGCGGAAGGTGTCCCTGCCCGTGGTAGGACGTGGGACTGGATGAGTTTCAACGTCTCTTCCAACCCATACCATGCCAGGGCTCCATGATTCCATGTTCATTCAATATCCAAAACTGCAGCTACACCACTGATGCTGAATTGTACAATAGTCAGTCATGGAATTCCCACAGGGAACTCCAAGTGAATTCCCTCAGGGCAGTTCCCCAGCTTTATATTTGAACTCTTCTTTCTTTAATCCTTTCCTAGGAGAGGGCAGTGAGCCTCCTGCAGCTGTTCCAGGCAGGGATGGCAGCCACAGTTCCTGAGGATGTGCTGCCTCCCGCAGAGTGAGCGGGACATTTCACAGGGATAAACCTGAAACCCCAGAGCACACCAGAGTCAAGAGGGATCATTAAGCCACCTGAATATATCCTTTCAGTGCTTTACCCAACAAAATCTTGTTTATCTATCCAGACTGATGCTGATTTTAGAGTGACACTGAGAATGGGGATTTGAGGTGGAACATGGCCCATTTTCTAGCAAAATGGTTTAATTTTTAACATGAAACTATTAAAGGCAGCAGATGTGGTTAACATTGCCCAGAGCACCTCACTGCACAGGTTTGGGATGAGGATTTTTTTTCTCTTCGAATTCGGCAAAAATTTTCTCAGCCACCTTTTTCTGCCTACCCAGGGCAGAAATTTAAAGTTTTGGAAGCAAACTTTGACCTCTGTGAAAGGGTTGGAAATTAATAATTTTGACCACTGTAAGGATGACATTTTCCCCCTCTGCATCCCAGCAGTTCCTAAATTGAAGCAAAGATCTGGATTTCCACGAGGCGTCTCTCGGCCTCAGGAAAACATTTTTCCCGGGGTCAAGGTGCTCCTCAGCCCGCCCATGCGCCAAGCCCCTGCTCACGGCGCCATCGGGATCTCCGCAGCGTGTCGGGATTGTCGCGATATGCCAACAGGGCTGGGCTCGACCTCGGCCCCGCCTCGCTCTAGTCGTGTTCCCCCGCGAGAGGTCACCTGTAGCACGGCGGGAGACAGCCCCCCGGTGCCCCGGAAAAGGCTGTCGTGTCGCTGTAGCGTTGCTATCGCGACACAGCTCACCTCGGCTCGGCACCGCCATCCCGACGCCCCCGCCCCGCCCTCCGCTCCCCCGCCGTCCCGGCAGCCCGCGCGCGGCCCTTCGCCCCGCCCACCCGCCTTCGGGCGCGATCGGAGCGTTCGGCCCGGTTCGGTCGCTTTCGGGCGGACTCGGGCGCTGCCCGCTCGGGCGTCTCCGTTCGGGCCGGCGAGCGGAGCTCGGGTGCGATCGGAGAGGACTCGGCACACATCGGCGCTCCTCGCTACCGCCTTCGGCTGAGATCGGACACGGCTCGAGCGCGCTCGGGACTCTTCGCCTCGACGGGCCGCATTTGCTCGGGGACTCGGCCGCGTTCGGGCGGGCTCGGGTCTCACCCGATCCGTCAGGTACCGCTTCGGGCCGCGCCGCGCGCACTCGGCCGCGCCCCATTGGCCAGCCGGCAGGGAGCGCGCGCGCCGGCCGCCTTCGCACGGGGCCCGAGCGGCTCGGGCCGCTTCGGGCCTCATCGGAACTCGGTCGAAAGGCCCCGAACGCGCTCGTCAGCGGTCGGGCAGGCTCGGCGGCGCTCGGTTCCCTGGTCCCCCCTTCCCGCAGGACCCCCCTCAGGCGCGCCCGAGGGGGAGGCGGGGCGGGCTGGGCCACCCCCGGCCCCGCGCATGGAGCACAGCGACGGCGACCCGGCCGCCGGACAGCTTGACTTGCCCGCGAGACCGGGGCAGCAGCAGAAGCCGCCGCAGGCAGCGAAGAGGGAGGCGGAGCCTGAGGAGGCGGTAACGGTGATGGCGGCAGACGGCGAGCACATCGAGATGGGAGCACCGTCAATGCCAAGCGCCGACGAGGCCGCCGCCGCCGCTGCCTTCGCAGGTCAGGGCGGGCAGCGCTCCCTCAGCCCGCCCGGGGCTCCCCCAGCCCGGGCTCCGGCCCCACACAGCCCCCGGGGCTCGGGCTGGGACAGCGAGCTCCTCAGGCAGCGCTCCCCCTCACCGAATCCACACTCCGCCCCTTCACACGCAGTAAAAGAGCGGGAGGCGCCCGGTGCGCCTGAGCCCGTGTCCCCATAACCAAGCGCTCCAGCAGGGTCGTGCAGACAAGCTGCGGTGCCACAGCGGCCAGAGCCCCTCGCCCGCCAGAGCTCTCCGCCCGAGCGGCTGTTCTTTCACCCCCACCCCACGTGGAAACCAGAGATTTGAGCCAGGCCAAGCGCTGAACACTGCAGAAACGCTGGCCAGTACATTTGTCAGCTCTTAACTGGACAAAGTGCACAGGTCATGGCACCGTGGGTATTAATACATGACAGAGGCAGAGTCTGTTGTTCAATTTATCCTGATGTCTGCCAGTCACCCCTATTCAAGTAAAAGCACTACAGCTCAGAGTGTCCCTAGTACAGCTGCAATACTTTTTTTTCCCTTAGGTCATCGCACACTGATAGTGACTGCCCTGGTTTCAAGGAGGTTAAAGCCTGTTCAACCCAAATATTAATATAAATCAGAATGATTGTGTTCATAACAACTTACAGGTGCCATGAAAAATAAAATTAATTTAGAACAGGAAGGAAGAAGGAATTTTTCAGATGTTCATCAGGCTCTCCACATGAAGCAGAAAATTAAATTAACCCTGTTTTACATTCCAGAAGTCACCACGGTGACAGTAGCCAACGTGGGGGCCTCTGCAGACAATGTTTTCACTACATCTGTGGCCAATGCAGCTTCAATTTCAGGACATGTGTTGGTAAGTCTGCCCTTTCATTTGAGGGCCTTGACAAAGATTCTCAGTGTAAATTAAGAGCTGTAGTAAGGTCAAAGACTTGTTTTCATTATAATATCTAGGCATTAAACCACAAACCCTTTTAAAGCTGGGGGACATACAGGGGTTTTATTCCTAACGTTTTTACCTTTCCACCCCCACGTACACATCTGTAATAGAACTGGTAGCCTGGAACATGAAGTCTTTGAATTTTCTTGTCTGAAAACTCAAAAATTAAAACCTAATAACTGCCATACTGATTGGAGTTTTGGGGTACCTGTAGGTTACTGAAAGCTGTTTGTGTTGAAGTATTTTAATAAATTTATACTCTTTATTTCTTCTGCAGTCTGGGAGAACAGCCCTCCAAATTGGGGACAGCTTGAACCCTGAGAAAGCCACTCTGATAGTGGTGCACACGGATGGCAGCATTGTCGAAACCACCGGGATCAAGGGGCCCTCAGCACCTCTCACACCAGGTACTAGACAGTCTGCGTGTGGTGGCTCACTCTCCCAGAGGATGGCTTCTTCTCCATTTTACTTGTTTTTCTGGTATCTAAAAATACGTGCATAATTTTATAAGGATGGTTTGCCCTCTCTTGAAACCATAAAGTTACGCAGGTTGGAAAAGACCTTTAAGATACCAACTCATCACAAAGTATTTTGTGCATTTCTTGGGAATGAGAAATGCTTATTATTTTTTTCCTGTCAGAAATGTGTTTAATTTTTTCCTCATTCTTTGCCCTAACCCTGGCAAAGAAGCTGCTTGAAAAATCTTGCCCTGCTACCAGGCTTTCTACATCCATCCAACCCCCAAGGGCACACAGATCATTTTAACATGGTTGATAAAAATCCGAGTCTCCCAATTCTGCACGTGTTCTTTCCAAGGGTCCTGGAACACGTTTTCATGTCCATTTAGGCTGATACTTGAGTGTCCCTGTGGCTGAGGTTTTGTTCAGGGCTGCCTGGTGGTTTCCTTGCTGCCCACGAGATGGCATAGCAAACCTTCAGTGCTCTAAAGCTTCCCACAGGATGAGCTCTGGGAAGGGCAATCTCTAGGCAGCTCCTTACACCATAGCTTACAGGTGGTGTAAGGATCAGGTCACAGTCTCAGTGTTTATTTCTTGTTAGATCCTGTTTCCTCGGGTGGTCCTCTTTGCTTAATTATTAGCACTTCTTAGTTCATTCAGGCTGAGTTTTTTGTGCTGCTTCAGTCAACACCTTGGCATATCACCCAGCTGAGCATGGGATGGAACACCACTCTGCCTTTTGGTTGCTGACACCTTTCTTTTTTCATTTCTCCAAGGACCACAGTCTCCTCCTACCCCTTTGGCAGCTGTCCAGGGAAAAAGTGGAACCAAGTACAACTGGGACCCATCAGTGTATGAGAACGAGCTCCCGGTGCGGTGCCGGAATATCAGTGGCATTCTGTACAAGAACAGGCTGGGCTCAGGTAACTGCCACCCGGGCTGAGGGGTGGCACAGCTCCTTCTCTACTCTTCTTTTAATCAGGCTGTTCTTAAAGGCTGATTGTGACAGGAAAAAAAAACCAAGAAAGTTTCCAAGCCAGCTCAGAGCCTTTTGATTTTACTGTTCCCTTTTGTTTTGCTTTTTCTTCAGAGGCTTTTTAACTTTTTCTTAAACCTGCGAATATCTAGGTTGCCATGCAGTGAGTCTCCTCAGTAATAGGCTGACTCCTTTAATGATTTTTTGTCTCATGAGTAGACTTGTGTATTTGCAAAGCTCTGAAGAATCCCTGCTGGAATGCAAATAGTTTGTCTCTTCATAGGGCTCCTGAGCTCTTCCTCTTGTCTTTTATCCCTGTGGGGAAGCTGGGGAAACTGCAGCAGAAATTGCCAGTCAGCCTGGCTGCCCAGTGCAGTGCTTGTGGATAGAAAGTTTTCTTCTAGACCTACCACAAACACAAAAAAGATGAGAAATTCAAGTGCAAACCAAGGAAATTCTTATATTTGTGGTGTTTGTCCAATAAAGACTTTTCTTTCTTGTGGAGGAGTAATTTTAATAGCCTTTTGAGACCCAGAGTTGGAGCTCTGACCATTCTCAGTCAGTCACAGCCATGATAATAAATGGATATAGTTAGCCAAGAGCAATGGGCATATTTATATTATTTATATTTATATTTATATTTATATTTATATTTATATTTATTTACAGATTAACTGCTATTTTGTCCAGCAATTTTCATATTTTCTTCTTTAGAGAAGTGGCAAAATTAACCTTAACCTGGGCTAACAGTGTACTTTGGTGCTTTACTTCAGGAGGCCGTGGCAGGTGCATTAAGCAAGGGGACAACTGGTACAGCCCCACGGAGTTCGAAGCCATGGCAGGGCGAGCCAGCAGCAAGGACTGGAAGAGGAGCATCCGCTACGCTGGGCGGCCCCTGCAGTGCCTTATCCATGTAAGGTTAAGTTTAATCCCTCCTTTCTGCACGAAGGGGCAGCTGGAGCCAGGTGCTGATGGCACCAGGAGCAGTGCTTGGTTTGGTAGAGGGTCAGTGATGTAGGGGAATTGTTTTTGATGTGTCTCAAATAGCACACTGGGAATCTTGTTTATACTGGAAAGAGTTTCTGCAAGGTGAAGCCCAGCCTTGAGCTGTGCCACAGGAATTGAGCTTTCACCCATGGTACTGTAATTAGTAACCTGATCTTCTTCAATGTCTTTGCTTGCCACAAATCCTTCATTTTCACCATTCATTATTTGGGTCCTTTATTTGAGTCTTCTGGAGAACTTGGCATTGCCACTATGCTGATAGTCAATTTCTGTTTGAGCAGAAATCAAATCTCAAATTCATATATCCTGGCCTTTGGGTGTGGAAAAGGTTTGGTTTTCCTTTTCTCTCCTCTCACCCCATTGTACTGCTGTAGGGATCTGGCCTCTCTGTTACTGTACAGCATCCAAGAGGTAATGGGTACCACTCTGGGAGCATCCACATTTTTTTAGCAGGATCAAGGTGTGTTCTGGGTGATTTTGGTGACTCATGCTGAACTGGTCACTTCTGATTCCAGGATGGGATTTTAAATCCCCATGCTGCCTCGTGTACTTGTGCCGCTTGCTGTGACGACATGACACTGGTGAGTGGGAGGCTTTACATCCATTACTTTAGGAATTAATTTTTTTTGTTGGACAAATTAACCGGTAAAGCTGCCACAGCCCTTTGGTGAGCAGGTCATGAATGTCCTGGGAATGGAGTGTCCTGAAACATGAGTGTTTAGGGACAAGTGCTTTGTCCCTGTCCTGTAGAGAAAGGAGATAAGGAACTGCTGGCATTATTGCAGAACAGCCTTAGTAAAATTAGTTCATATTTAGTGCTTTTTT